CCTTCCTGTGTGGAGTTTGCATGTTCTCCCCAGGCCTGCGTGGGTTTTCTCCAGGTACTCCAGTTTCCTCCCACATTCCAAAAACATCACACACACACACACACACACACACACATTTATGTCCAGCAATTGGCTGACAACCAGTTCAGGGTGTCCCCCGCCTACTGCCTGAAGACAGCTGGGATAGGCTCCAGCACACCCATATGAGAGTAAGCGGATCAGAAAATGGATGAAGATATACACTGTATATCATGGCTAAAAAATTATGGTATGCTTGACATGGAAATGTTGAATATTACTACACCCGGTGATCCCATTAATGACATAATTGTGTTCTTGTTGGCAGGGCAAGCAATATCAAAAGCAACAATAAGTGACAACACTGGACGCAACGACACTGGCCTGGATTCTATAGCATAGAATATACATTTGTGTAAAGAATCTATATATTTTTAACCAACCTCATGGTTAAGGTGAAACTGTGAGCCAATGAATAAATCAAGAGATTAATAATCACCGCGCGGTCTATTGTTATTATACCACAGGTGCCACATCAACCACGTGCTTAGTTTTTGTTGTTGTTTGTTTTCATTTGCCTTGTTAAGCCAATGTAGAAATGTACTGTTTTGTGTCTGTGTCTCCTATGATTTCTGATCCAATACAATTACATTTGAGTTGTATTTTCTTAAATGCACAGTGCCAAACTGGTCAGACTTTACCACTACATTGGAACCTCGGTTTTCGTGAGTAATCCGTTCCAAGTAGTCCGACTAAAACCGAATCGTAGGAAACCTGAAGCAATATTTTCTTTAGGAAATTAATCTGTTCTTGCCATTCCAAAATTTTATAGATAGATAGATAGATAGATAGATAGATAGATAGATAGATAGATAGATAGATAGATAGATAGATAGATAGAGCTAGCAATCTGAAATACAAAACAATGGTGAAATGAAATGAATATGTCAATATTAAACTTCACTTGTAGCTCTATCGAAGACCCTCATACGGGCATACAAAGAACTGAGGTTCCACTGTACTGTCTTTCAATTCATTTTTACACTTATTGTCACGGTGTTTTTGAAACCTTTATTCGATGCGTTAGTGATAATAATAATACACACTGCCTTAGCTTCTTGGATGACATTTCAGTGGACTTCAGTCAAGCCATCCATCATAGGAGCATGTAGCGAACTTTCAAAAGCAATGTGAGTCCTTTTAACTGGAAAAAAAAATCATAGTAAAACCTAAGATGTAGTGAAACAATGTAATTACTGTCATGTGATAATTACAGTTATTTCCGCTCACAGTGACTACTACTTAACTACAGATGGGGAAGCATTAGAGTGCAATTTGTCATGTCAAACTGGAGTTAAAACTTTGAATGCTTATCATCAAAACACAGTCCAAGATCATTTTGAATACTGTGTGTGTGGTAAGACTCTGCGCTTGTTTGTTTTGTGGCTGCTCTTTTGGTTAGCATCAGACTTCAAATGGGCCCAGCAATTTACTCCTAAAATGTTTATGTGTGAACATTGATCTGAGATAAGTAAACAGTTACTTCTGTTGTTTGTTTGTTTTTTGTTATCTGAGGGGGCACTTATTTGTCCTGATCAGACCCGTAACTAATTTGGGCACATCATTTATGGAAGGCACGGCCAGTATTTAAGTAAATAACATGATCAAAAAGGAAAAGTACCATAAGTAATTTGAATATATTGGAAAAGACAGTTGATGTCACTCTGTGGGTGCTGCTCTTTTGGTCAGCAACAGACTTTAATGGGCTGCAGCAACAATTGTGCTCATGAACCGAATTGATGACACTCATTACCTGTTAGTTATTATTTTTATTTTTACTTTTACTCAATTGGGGAAACAGTCTTTATTTAAGGGAGATGTTTATTTTTTCCAAGTTGACCTCGTGACTCATTTGAGCATGGCATCTGTTGGGAGCACGGAGACGATATGTGGGAATCATGTCAATTACACAATATTAGAACAAAATTTGGCGAAAAGACTTGAATTCATCCAAAGGACTCTTGGTGGGTTTCGATAAGTGCTGCAGAGTTCCAATGGCATCAGCATTAAACTGAAACAGTAGTGTCCATCCATATGAAGTGAGATAACTCCAGCTACTGTCGTGCATTTTCTGTTGGATTTGTCTGAGTATATTTGGCTCAAGAGGGACAATTGTCAAATTGTGGTGGCCACTATTTGAGGAATTACTGTAAATTATGTAAATTAGTCATTTTAAAAAGAGTAACCAAATTCATGTTCAGCACTACACAGTTTATAATCAGATTTCTAATTTAATGCTGCCCTATCATTTGTAATTGTTTCATGTGCTCCACTCGCATTTATGTCAGTGTAAACTGTTAGATTTGCCTGCTGATTTGCATACAAGTGTGAACGTAAGCAGGATGTCGTGAGCGGATCGAGGGAGCTGAATTGTATTTTGGTTACTGCAGTGGAAAGAGGTCAATAAAAAGAGTGTTGCAAAACGCTGCTCAGCCTCTCCTTTTCATGACATAAATTAATGAAACGTGGTGAACTGTCTATACTAGTTTGGCCTACCACAATGTTCTTGCTGTTTTTTTTTTTTTTTTTTTTTTGCATAACAGCGATGCATAAAAAAGTGTTGACATCATACTATAACTCTTACCCGGGAACTCCTTTCTATTTCATTTCAAGCACGACACACTTGAGCTCCTCTGTCCCAGCAGTGCGCATTTATTAACTGTCGTAAACGCACTGCAAGCTGTCTGTATATTACACACTACTGCTCCCTGGTGTTCAATTTGAGTCCCCCATCCCATGTTTTCAAACTTAATATAAAAGACATATGTAGTGCAACAAGTTTTTTTGTACTAAACTATCAAGGACAGCGGCCCGGTGGTCCAGTGGTTCAATTCCAGTTCCGGCTTCCCTGTGTGGAGTTTGCGTGTTCTCCCCGGGCCTGCGTGGGTTTTCTGCAGGTACTCCGGTTTCCTCCCACATTCCAAAAACATGCATGGCAGGCAGATTGAACACTCAATTGAACACTCAATTGAAAACAATTGTCCCTAGGTGTGAGTGTGAGCGCAGGTGGTTGTTCATCTCTGTGTTCGTCGCTGGCAACCGGTTCAGTGTCCCCCGCTTACTGCCCGAAGACAGCTGGGAAAGGCTGCAGCACCCCCCACGACCCTTGTGAGGATAAAGCGGATCGGAAAATGAATGAATGAATTAATATATTCAGCATATTCAAAAGTCAGTCGTCACTTAATTACATGTAAAAAGAAAAAACATCAAAAATCAAATCAGTGTTTATTTGTTATAAAAACAATGATTTTCAAAAAGGATAAAAGCAAAAATTGTCTTCATTAAATATTTATTGTTTTCAAGAGAGAAAGCAATCCGTTGTTACAAACCATCAACGCACTCGTACGCGATTGGTCAATCTAATGACAGATGTTTTACAACCGACCAAGCGGGAGTAACCTCGGTGACATACTATCCAATCAGGTGCCGTTACTGCACTCAGCGATGGCCGTGAATGGGCGTTACAGGGGTGGGGTGACTCAGCCGGAAAAGAGCTTCTTTTTTTTCTACACTTAGTAAATCTGCGACTCGTGAGTTAACGGGTGAGTCAAATCTATGTACTTTTGTTTCGTTAACTTGCTTGGAATTCGAGCAACATGGTGAGAAAATCCAAATGCTGTAGCGTTTTCCATGTGCGTAGCAGCTGCAGCGATGGTAGCGGCGTTGTGGGCCGACCTATGTGGGCTGTCACAGTCTGTCAAAAGTGTTAAAAGGAGCCGAACAGAAATATGTAATCACCATTATCTTAGCTGCTTGTTAGCTAATTAGTACATAGCGTTATGTGTGTGGTGTGGCTCGAAGAACCGTTATTTATCGCTTTGATTGGTAGTAGTAAGTGGCTTTGACGTGAATTTAGCTAGCTTCCTCGCCACGGCTACATCTGCTTTCAAAACTACAGGAACTCCGCTATCGCATTTCCCTCCAGTGGGAAAAGGGCCAGTCTATTTGTGAGCAATGGAGGGAGTGCAAGTGACTGATAAGACGGGTGTCCATTTACGTTTGTCAAGTATCCGGTTCTATTTTTGGGTTGAAGTTTAACTCTTATCTTGGTGAAACGTTGTTCGCTCCACGGAATGGTAAAATCGTAACGAAGAGATTAACTAGCCCATAATATTATCGGTATTACCCCCTGTGATTTTCTTGGTTTGGTTATGTCTGAAATGAGCTCCCTGGTGCACGTACACTCAGTGTCAAGTCAAGTCTAGTCAAGTCAACTTTATTCTCAAATGTGATTGAAGTTTACTGGGCCACAAACATGCTTTTCAAGCTAAGGTCCTTTACATTTCATGTACAATCGGTGGCGGTATGCAGCAATAAATGAAGAACATAAACTAAATTATTAGTATTATTTAGTTTTTATTTAACCAGTACTTCTCCAGATAAGGCAATTAATTGAGAACAGTTTCTCATTTGCAAAGCCAACCTGGCTACAGACAGCATAACAAATGTGCTTTAAATGAATTGTCAGTTTAATGCTGTTAATTTAAGTGCGATACTCTCCACAGCGAGCACAGAAATCCAAACAAAGCGTAATTGTACTGTCAAATTCGTGGCCTTCCTGTGTGAAATTTGCATGTTCTCCTCGTGCCTGCGGGGGTTTTCTCCGGGTACTCTGGTTTCTTCCCATATTCCAAAAACATTCATCATAGGTTAATTCAATGCTCTATATTGTCCCTAAGTGTGACTGTGAGTCACCTGATTAGCATATACATATAGAGCCTGTACTTCCTCCGCAAAATGAGCAAGAACCCCCCATGATGCAGACATTCCATAGAGGCAGAGAGAGAATCTATAGAGGCATCATTGAGAGCATCTTGACCAGCTGCATCACCGTGTGGTACGGCTCTTGCACCGTGTCCTGCCGAAAGAGTCTGCAGCGCATTGTGAGAGCAGCTGAGAAGATCATTGGTGTCTCTCTTCCCCCACTCGTGGACAATTACACTTCTCATCTGACCCGCAAAGCCATCCAGGTCACAGGTGACCATCCACCCACCTCACAGTCTCTTCGACTTGCTGCCGTTGGGGGAGGAGACTGCGATATCTCTGTGCTAAAACCAGCAGGCTCAAGAACAGTTTATTCCACCAGACGGTTAGGAGACTCAACTCCCTCCATGTTTTGCCCGCAACCACCCCTGCCTCTCTCAGCATCTGACATCCAATTATTGCACATTTCACTACCTAAGCTTTAACCTGCAATGATCACAAGTGCACTTGGTTGTCTGTTGTTGCTATTTAATGTTTATTTGTTCATATTTATGTATTTATCAAGTCAAGTACAACTTTATTGTCAAATGTGCTGTATGTGCAACATACAGCACAGATGAAATTTCTTCCCTCTCACAACATACAACAAGAGGAGCCGCTGCAGGTGCCCGCGCTGCCATCAAAAGAAAAGTTAACATAAAATGACAAAATAATACAAGACAACACATTAGACACAGACAATCGTGCAATCTTAACCACTTTCCTGCAGACACTTTGTTGTCCGAAGCAGTTATAGATTAAAGAGGAGCGAATCAAAGTGTCCTTTTCACCAGTGGATCAAAGACGTCATGCTGCAATGTGCACACATCTGCTATAAGCTAAGCTTGTATGTACTTTATGTCTTTATGTATTTTATGCAGTTCAGGTTGCTGCCATTATTTTTAGCTGTGTGTGTTTCAATGCACTACATGTTTGCACTGTGGTTGAGAGAGGAAAGTAATTTCATCTGTGCTGTATGTTGCACTTGACTTGATATCCGCCTCACAGTGCAGAGGTGCTGGGTTTGATTACGGCTCTGGCCTTCCTGTGTGGAGTTTGCATGTTAACCCTCTGCCTGCGTGGATTTTCCCTGGGTACTTTGGTTTCCTCCCACATTCCAAAAACAGGCATGGCAGGTTAATGGAACACTGTGAAATGTCCCTAGGTGTGATTGTGAGCGCTGATGGTTGTTCGTCTATGTGTGCCCTGCGATTGGCTGGCAAGTGGCAACTATTTCAGGGTGTACCCCGCCTACTGCCTGAAGACAGCTGGGATAGGCTCCAGCACGCCTGCGATCCTTGTGAGGATTAAGCAGTTCGGATAATGATAGAAGGATCATTAAATTGTTAGCAACAAAAATAAAACTTAATGTATCAGTTAGCTAACAAAAATCAAAGATAATGTGGCTATCAGTTAGTTTTTTGACAGTTCCACTTTTCTGTACATTGTGGCATTTTGAGGCAAAAAAAGCTGTTCTTAGCATTTACCCTGTTGCTTGACCAATACATTCAAATGACTATCAGTACGTTTGAACAACTTTGCAGTATGTTTGAATTACATAGCCCAGTAAAAAAAAAAAAAGTTAATTTGACATTGGCAGTTCCACGCTTCCGCAACTGAACGACTGATAGTTTTTCCCTCCAAATTGTGTGAGTTGTGATTTGAAAATTGCATTCTTCTACACTGCGATATAAATTTGAATTTGATGAATTGTTCAACCCTTGTTACCATGCTTTTTTTAACACACGTATCTGTTCTACTTAATTACAGACTGTTGAGTAAGATGTGCTACAAATACAGATGTCATTTTTGTTGTCTTTAATCAATATTGTTTTTTCTGGGCGTTGCAATGTCAAGTTTCTGTTCAATCACCAATGAATGATTGGCCATTGTTGCTGCTGTTAAAAGCGTACAGTAGTGCAAATTGGTGCTTTTGATGCACTCAGCAGACCATCAATGCTTTTTGGGTGGGAGTGACGAAGGCTGCCCACTAAGAGGCGCCGACGTCACATGACCAGCGTGCCCGCTACGTCATCTTGGCAAAAGAATAAACCGAGCGAAGACAAAACGAGAAGGATCTTTGCACCGGTTCTCGCTCTCCTCCACAGCTTCTCCTTGTCGGCCAACCCCTGGTGTTCGCGGGTCTTTTTTTTTCCCCGGCCGAGAGAGTGCGAACAGGGCGTCTGTTCAACGCTTCCGAGACGCAAATGCCCGGTCCCACCCAAGCCCTTTCCCCGAATGGAGAGAATAACAACGACATCGGCCCGGACGGCACCAACATTATTCCCTACAGGAAGAATACAGTACGAGGGGAGCGTGCCTACAGGTACAATTCGGTTCATTATGGGTTGAAAATATACGCTTTATGGGAGAAACCCGGGTTGTTGTGGCCTAGCTGGTCCCCCTCCTCCGCCTCGTCTCTGCGACTGTCATTTTGGCCCTGTTGGCAATAGCAACCGCGATTATTCTGCTACCGTAATCCATGTAAAACTGCTTTTTCGTCACGCACCATCGTCATGGGTGACGTTTAGCTTCAAATGGCCCGAAGGCAATCACACAGTATTATAAAAACAAACAATCAAACAAAAAGAACGGTTTGTGCTCTCGTCTGAACGTTTGACGTTTCCCTCGCCTCCAACGGGCAGACGTCAGGCCACGACGCGGTGCGCTCAGTGGGCTAAGAAAGCATGCTAACACCGCTCGCTACTATCCGCTTCGTTGGCAGGCGAAACCTGTGTGTAAACCTGGGGTAGGGTACCTCGAGAGCCATATCCTGCCTGTTTTAGATCCCTCCCTACAAAACGATCAGCTCATCAGCAAACTGTAGAAGCCTGAAACGATCACGATCACTTGAATCAAGTGTGTAGGATTAGGGAGAGCTCTAAAGCAGGCAGGATATGGCTCTTGGGGAACTGGAGTTCCCTCCCCCTTGTGTAAACGGACATATGATCGTTAGCATCATAAGCCGTGATTTAATTGTCTGCTATGGATCCGTTCGTGCTGGGCGATTAAGGCCCAAAAAAAAAGCGAGACCAGGAATATATTTTCACTTCAACCAATCTTGATTATTTTCACAGTTTTTTGTATTGTTTTAAAACTGTCACTTTTACAGCATCTATATGGACGACTAAATAAACTAGAGCAGTGGTTCTTAACCTTGTTACCTAGGTACCGAACCCAACCAGTTCATATGCCCATTCACCGAACCCTTCATTAGTGAAAAATAAAAATGATTTTTTTCCCAACAAATTCAAGACATAAAAAACACATTTGTTAAAAACAGAATTAAAAAAAAGACATCAGTATATGTTGTTTTTTTTAATTGTGCACAAAATGAACACAAAATGTCATAACCGATTGACACGTTGAGTCGGGTGTATCTTAACCTCCATGACAGAGGCTCTGTCGAACCCCTGAGACTGATTCACCGAACCCTTCGGGTTCGATGGAACCCAGGTTCAGAACCACTGAACTAGAGTGTAGTTCATCATTCTATTAATATATGCAATACATTTTTACACAAATATTCATTCAACCCCATCCCCCCAACAAAATCTGCAGATTTTTGCTGATTTTCTTCGTAAAGTCAAACAAATTCTAAAGGACAATGTAAAACAGTCAATGTTCAACGATGAGGATCTGAATATCCAGTTAAGCCTAAAGGTTGTTTCTAATTGGTCAGATGTTGCCTTTTTACATTGATTGTTTCACATTACTTAGTGCTTGATTTTTGGTTTGAGGTTTCATGTTTGAAAACTGCATTTGTAGTGAATCAACCATGAATACCACAGGACTGTTTGTGGGAGAAAACAAAAACATTTTGAAGCTGAGAGAGGAGGGAAATTCAATCAGAGGTGTTATACAAACGTTGGGCATAGCCAATACAACAATTTAGACAGACATCGAACGGGTTGACCCAGGGCATCATCAGCAGTTGATGACAGAAACATCATGCAAGGTGTAAGAATCAATGAAAGAAAAATCAGTAACATCACTGCCAAAAAAGACTTGGAGAGAAGAAATAGACAGGCCATTACCCTGCCATGCTAAATGCCAGGATCGGCATCAGCTTCAAAAAGTCTGGAGTGGCTGGGCCCTAGTAATAACAAATGTCATTGCGAGTGTTTTATAGAATATCCATCCATCCATTCATCCATCTTCCAATCCTCTTATCCTCACACTGGTCGCGGACGTGCTGGAGCCTATCCCAGCTGTCTTCAGGCAGTAGGTGGGGTACATCCTGAACTGGTTGCCAGTCAATCGCAGGGCACACACAGACAAACAGCCATTCACGCTCACAATTACACCTAGGGACAATTTAGAGTCTTCTATTTACCTGCCATGCATGTTTTTGGAATGTGGGAGGAAATCAGAGTACCTGGAGAAAACAACACACAGGCACGGGCATAACATGCAGACTCCACACAGGGATGCCAGAGCTGGAATCGTACCCTGCGTTTTATAGCATCTTGATTTTTCAATTTCTTTATTTTTACAAGGGGACAAAGTATATTAATCAACATTTAAAAAAAAAAATCAAAATACCACTAAATTAGCTCAAAACTAATTCACACTTTTTAAACTTTCACTGTTGCACTAGTATGCATTTTTCATTTTCTAAAAAAAAAAAAATGGCAAATTGAAATTTGCACTCTCCTAAAAAGGCAATATTCATACTCTGTTTCTTAATGTGCTTTGAATTCCCCTGAATTGAGTTTATTTCACATAGTTTGTAACCTCAAATGCCATATTTGTGGACTGTCGTTATGTAGTCCTGCTGTAAGCCATTTCACATGGAGTCTGGGAATATCTCCCCGTCAAACTGATACTGATGGTGTGCCGCCAAAGTGAACGGAATGGGTGAGCTGTAAGCCTGACACAGCAGCGGCATCACACTAAGGCAGGGGTCGCAACCCAAAATGTTGAAAGAGCCACATAGGAAAAAAAAAACAAATATGTCTGGAGCCGCAAAAAATAAAAGCCTTCTATAAAACACATGCTCTATGTAGGAGACTGGACTGTCTCAGAATTGTTTGTTATTCATTCCTTTGTTGTGTGTTCACAAGCGCCCCCATAGAATTTATTTTGTGATTTCCTCGCTTGATTTTTTGTTTTGGTGCATTATTTTCGCTTTTCTTAGTGTCAGTGAAGTGATTATAAATTTCCGTTTTTCGGAGGCTGTCTTTGAACGCCTCTCGAGTCGAACGAGAAGAGAGAAGGCAAACTTGTCTGTGTTTGTCGAGACTGTTAAAAGCATAAATAAATTGTGCGTTTTTAAAAAAAACAACACCACAGCTCTCCTTTTTCGGAGCTGCAACATGTATCTATTTCTATTTGAGCTATATTAGCCTACTATCAAAATCTTTTTCCATTTTCAAACATTTTTTATAAAGCTCCAGGGAGCCACTAAATGCCGCTAAATGGAGCCGTGTGTTGCCGACCCCCGCACTAAGGTGATCATGTGATATGAGTGGACTTCTTTACCACTCAGCCTTTGTCTTTGCCTCTGTGAGGAAGACGTACTAACCAGTCGACCATCCATACATTTATTTAATACTGTATAGTAAATCCAATGAAGAGTTGTTGTTTGGCTTCCAGAGGTAAAATGACATTTAGCACTGTTTTGTAAACTTAGGCAGCCTGATGTGTTTGGCTTTCAGTGTTGATTAATCGTTACATAAAATGGTGTGAACTTTAAAGTTCAGTACAAGGGGAGCTATTTTGGATTAATTGCTTTGTTACAGATAATTTCTTGATCTTCCACATAGGAGATTGAAGACAAACTTGTTTTCTTGAATTGGGCAGGGCAGGTGTTTAGAGAGCAGGACTGCTTTGAGATGGGTGAATGGAGGAAAGCAGCACTTTGAGGGCGTTTGTGGTGAGGAATTTGCATTTTAACATGGCGATAAGGTCCAAAAGATGATTCGCGTGATACAGACCCTTTAATAATCAGCTATACCAGCAAATTGAGGGTCCGTCTTTAACACGAGTACAGAAAAAGAAAAATGCCCATTTAGGATGATTTTTTTTGGGGGGGGGTAAAATACATGAGTGAGTTTTATTCACGGGATTTAACAGATTGTACTGAGCATTCAGAAGCTTTCTTACATTGTGTTAATTTGCTATTCTATTGTTTTCCACACATTTTGGCACAAGTGAGCACTGTTTTCCCTCACAGATATTAATACGAAAACATTTGCTTTTCCACACTGGTTTTCACGTATTGTTGTTGTGTGCTTCACAGCTGGGGCATGGCGGTCAACGTGTATTCTACCTCAATAACCCAGGAGACGATGAGCAGGCATGACATCACGGCCTGGGTTAACGACATCCTCTGCCTGAATTACACCAAAGTGGAGCAGCTCTCCTCAGGTGAGGAACGTTTTCCCTCTGCGCCCATCACGCGAAGGGCTCCCAAACAGTTAGTTCAAAGGCACCTGTGGAAACATGCTCACCTCTCCCCCGGATTGAGTCTTGCATGCCTGCCTGTGTGTGATCTGGTTCTCCGTGTGGCATCGTAAAGTGAGTTCAATTGCCCCTTACGGCAGTGTTTTTCAAAATTGCATGGGGGGGGCCTCCTCCAGCTAATTTTTTCCGCCGTCCCCAGCCAGACCAATTGACCTCGCTCAACACAGCGTAGAGCTCCAACTGTACTACTGTCCTACCAACAGCAGTGCACAGGAAAGACCTGAAGAAACGGCTCATGTACTCTTTTACCGAGCTCCGGTACGCCTCCGGGTCCGTCGCACACGCACACCAAGTGCCGCCCCAAAACACACCGGGATGCACGATAAATATCATGATGACGATGTCTTGTCAATAAGTCTAATAACATTAAACAAAAGGGATGGTTATAGGTATGACAGCGTTATGAAAGCCAACGAAGACTGCTGCGTTGTCAAGAAAGAAAAGGTGCAAACCATTTGCCAGAGAGGAGCCAAGGGCTCAAACGATATACTGTATCTGATTTCACCATTGACGTTGTGGGTGCTTAGCAACCAACCTTTTAGCATCATTGACTTTTATGGGCTACTGAACCACTCGTCTCATACTGTTTAGTCTTCCGAGCCGCCACTACCTTGAAAAAACAGGAGGTGTCATGCTTCTGTATACACCGACGAACAAAATAAGGACACAAGCCTCACTTCTGATTTAAGGTCGGGTGACGTTAGCCCTGTTAGTTGCTAGCCCACTTCAAGTCATCCGCTGCAGTGCTCACTTGTCGTTTACTCGATTTTTTTAAATCGCTGCACTTTTTCAAGCCTTGCAGGACTTGTGAGTGCACTTTATGAATCCTTACCCAAGAGTTTGTGGACTTCGAGGAGAAGGACTTTATTATGCAAATTTTAATAAACAAATGTTTTAACATGATACTAGTCATATTCTTATTGGAATTCTTAACTTAAAGTCTGTGAGTCCATTGAATTTACAGAATACATGCACATCATGGCACATGGTCAGGATGGTACCACCTCCATCTCTCAATTTAAGCCTGGAAAAACCCTACCTTGAGGGATTATAACAAGTAAATAAAAACAGGTGGCAGGCGGTCATCCCCCGCTGTGACCAAGTAGTAATCCAATTTCAAGCCACTGTCGACACACACTAAAATGTCAGCTAATGCCTTCATCTTGATGACTTTGTTTGTGTTCTCTACTAGTTACTTGTTTGTGGGCTTTGTCTGTCTGTGTGGCAGTGTTCCAGTTTCTCTCACTCATTGCGATTTGCTCTTTTCTGGTGACTTGCTGCTAATAAATTTTGAAGGAAACAAGTGCCTTCATGGCATTCCGAGTCACTCGGCTGGAGGCTGCTGCAGTGATTCTCTTAAAGCAGATAGCATTTTTTTCACAATTTGAACAGTTCTTAGTGTTGCAACTACAGTGTCCTCTTCTTGCAGGACTAGAGCCCAAGGTGTAGGGGGGCAAAACGAAATGACCCTAAAGACAGTCAAAGCATTGTGAATCAGAAAAGCATTTTCCCCCCCTTCATTTGATTGCTGTTGTTATTCTTGGTGAGCAGCAAAAATGTTGTTTTTGGGATCCCAAAGAAAGGGGAGTTTTTGGAGGTGTATCAAAGAATACTTTTCTGAACATACATCTGGAAACTACAGGAGTAGGTCACCTGGAAATACAGCACACTAAAAGCACACTATTTGGTTTTTAGGTGCTAATAATGTTTGTACACCGTGAAAATTAAAAAAAATAAAATAAAAATTGACTCACTTGTGGCTAATTTCCGCTAGATTTTTGGATGATTTGTTGAGGGGAATTTTTTTTTTAATTACGGGTAGTAAATTAAAGCCACCGTTACATAACAATTGGGCAGAAATAGATCACAGAAGATTTACTGGGTTGTTTTAATTTTGCACCCGATTGGTGGTAGACACTCCGGAGGCCCAACTATTTGTATACAAGGCATTAAAAAGTTGAGCTGAAAGATTAATTGAAATCAAACAGATATTGCGATCTAGTAGAATTCAATTTTCTAATCGCAAAGGACATCAAAAGAAAATACTCATGGGTAAAGTTCTGTCATTAAAAAAAAAATCTATATCATAAAAAAAAAAAAAAAAATCCCCAAATTATTAAAACACAATCACCAAAGTGACATTATGCAAAACTCCCTGTTGCACAGAAAAAAAAACTGCTCCGGCATAAAAAAGGATATTCAACCTCAGTTCTATATTATCAAGTCAACAGGGAAGGTTAAAAAGAAAAAGAAAAAAATATATATAAATTAAATTGCAATCATAATGTTGAGTGAGAAAATTGCAATTGCATTATTTTACCAAATCGTTCAGCCCCATTAAAAAGTACATTTTCCATTTAAGACTGGGTCATCATTTTTTTTTTTCTTCTCTGGTGTGTTCAGGAGCAGCCTACTGCCAGTTCATGGATCTTCTCTTTCCGGGCTGCATCAGTCTTAAAAAGGTCAAGTTTCAAGCCAAACTGGAACATGAGTACATTCATAACTTCAAGCTGCTGCAAGCGTCTTTCAAAAGAATGAAAGTGGACAAGGTGAGTTTTGATCGTTCATGCAGCAGTAGTGTTGTTGCACCCTCGCTTGGCAAACTCTCCTTACCATTCTCAATTTAGATTATCCCAGTGGAGAAACTGGTCAAAGGCAGATTCCAGGACAATCTTGACTTCATCCAGTGGTTCAAGAAATTCTTTGATGCCAACTACGATGGCAAAGAGTACGACCCGCTGGATGCCAGACAGGGTCAGGACGCCATCCCCCCACCAGACCCCGGCGAGCAGATCTTCAACCTGCCTAAAAAGTCCCATCACGCCGCCAGCTCCCCAACTGCAGGTAATTAGTTTTGGGGTTTGAATCTCTGCTCCAACTGTCCTGTCCGGTTCACGTGTTCTTTCCATGCTTGCATGGGTTTGCTCCTTCCGCTCTCCAAAAACATGCATGATGGGTTTCTTGGGTACTTAAAACGCGAGTGTGAATGCTTGTTTGTCTATTGGCTGGCAACAAGTCCACAGTGTGTCCCTCCTTTTGCCCCAAACCAGTAATTATCCACAGAAAATGGATAGATGGATAAAAGAACTATGAGCTTGATGTAGTGCTGGAACCACACAACTATATGTGATGTTGGCTAGCCAGAGGCTGAGCTTCACTGTGTTTGTTCGCACACACAAGGTGTGGGGCTAGTTTGTAAGCCACTACCATTTCCAAAACCAAATGTTGCATAGCAAAATATATGAAAGCATTTTCCCATTATATCACAAATTTTGAACACTGCTTACAGGAGCATCAAGGTCAAGCGCCACAACCCCAAAGTCAGCGACACCAACATCCAGACCCTCCTCAGCCAAAAAAATCCCCACGGCATCAACTCCCGCCAAAGGAGAGAAGGAACTGGAGGCGCAGGTCACACAACTTACTGACCAGGTGAGCCTGACATAAAAGGTAACACCCGGTGTATCTTGTTTGTGTAACACTCCTTATAGAGGCTGCTCGTACTTTGGAATGTGTGTCGCAGAAAAAAAACAAAATGCAGGAGGATATCCATTGATGCTTGTTGGTTTCCCAAGATATGCAGACACTTAGTGCATGTTTCAAAATTAAAGTTTTGTGCAACTTCGTGGTTTTCACAAAAAATTGGGTTGACTTTGGGAAGTTCCACTGTACTAATATAAAAAAAAAAAATGCAGCTCAAGACACAGATGTCATGTAGCATCCTCCCGAAATTATCAGAGGGTACCTCCAATCCGTCCATCTTGCTGTCAGATTCCGTTATCTCCTTAAAAAGGATGAACATTAAAATATTATCTGCAACTGGGTGATGTTCTTAAGCAGGTGTTAAATAATCACTGGAGGACTTTAAAAAGGCTAATGATTGAGTCTCGATCCAGGCTAATCGATCAACCATTTAGCCTTTGAGCACAGCTCCTTACCTCTTAAAACGTGCTGTTAAATCATGTTTAAGGATATATTTTATTGCGGCTGAGCTGTCGCAGCATGCTAATCTGAAAGAGAGTCCGCACAACTTTTGTCTTTTATACGAGACATGTTATGATAAATTGACCCATTTCACTGCTTGAATAAAAATAGCATGGTCTCTGCAGCGGCTGCCTGCCTGTCAAATGTGAAGTTGCACAACCACTTGGTTGCCATGATGCCCTGGGGTGGCACCTGGGCCTAGAATGTGCAGCAAGTAAGAAGCAAAGACTTATCAAGACAATGAAAACATTTTCACTTCTGGAGGCAGCACTTCATCCACTGTGTCTATTTGGCGCATGGACACATCTCTGAATACAATCACCTACTGCTCGCGACAATTCATTGTAGCTCCACTTAATTTTTGGTTTTGACCAATTACGGCAGGGGACTACGACCCTGTTCCTCGAGGGCCGGTTTCCTGACTGTTATCCATCTCTCCCTGCTGCAACACACCTGGTTGGAACAATCCAGATTGGTATCTAGCTTCTGTTCACCTTGCTGATTATCTGATAATTTGAACCAGGTGTGTTACAGCGGGGAGTGATGGGAAACGGAACAGGATTAAAGACCCCTGAACTACAGCGAAACCCGGACTGTGCCTTACGACAAACAGCAAAAAAAAAAAAAATTGAAATCAATGTATAATGAATATGTTCATTGTGTGAACCTTGTCTCACATTACTCATGATTTGTGTGCGCATGTTGGTAGGTGAACACATTAAAGGTGGCGCTTGAAGGTGTGGAGAAGGAACGGGACTACTACTTCAGCAAACTGCGAGAGGTGGAGCTCCTGTGTCAAGAACAGGGTGAAAACGACGCTCCGTTCGTCGCGCGGCTAATGGAAGTCCTCTACGCTATGGACGATCAGGTCAGTGAAACAAATACAGCAAACAGAGAGATACAGTGATCGCCAAAAATATTGGAATGGCAAGTTCAATCACTTTGTCTTTGTTGCCTACTGAAGACATTTGTAGATGCATTTTTCTGTAAATTGCCTGACAAAATGGTTTTGTTGATTACAGAATTCATTCTGCTGCTACCATCTTGAGTTAATTTGTCAATAAATAGTTCCAAAAGCAGGCACGCAAACCCGAGCCATGACACTACCTCCACCATGCTTCAAAGATGAGCGTGTGTATTTTAGATCCATACTTTATCATCTTGTGACAGTCAGTGGAAAAAAAAAAACGAAGAGGAAAAAGTAGTGCTCCTTTTCTATTTGACAAGGCTTGGCGCCATCTTGTGGCATGAATATCGTTTCAGAGAATGTAAAATACAGTTGAATGGTAGTTTTTCAGCAAATCACAGGAGAGTTTCAACATGTGTATTGGTGAATAGTTAGGGGAACACCGTTCAAACGGCGCCTTCTTAACCTTTAGCACTTCTCTTTTAGGAGCGAGCCGAGGAGTTGGCTGAGGGAGACGGGCCTGATGTGGATCAGGAAGGTCATGAGGAGGCGCTGGATGATCCGCAGGAGGAGGAACAGGACGAATACTGACAAACACACTTTCTTATATTTAATATGAGAACTCTTCTCCCCTGTTTTTTTGTTCTCTCAAAGACTGAGCAAATTGATGCCGCCTCCTGAATAGAAGCACCATCACCATTTTTTTTCCCCCCTTCCGCTCGCTGTTCAGTGTTTTTGTGACTTTTTGCTGTGGTCACAAGCGCACAAGAGCTCAGACCATCGTCAGGACTGTCAAATGTATCACTCGATCAAATGCTGAAGTTGTTGTCGTTGTCTTAGCTTTCCAAATTTTTGGGGGTCATTTTGATATCCACAATATTAACCACAAGATTGCAATAAGCAAAGAAGCCCAAAAAGGGCTCACAGTAGCTCTTATTTAGCCTTCCGCCCAGCATGTGTTGTTGCACTGACATTTTGAGTGTATTGGACAATGTGTCCAGAGACCCTCGCTGTATTTATTCTCATTGTCGAGCCTTAGACATAGTACATTTCTATTTTCTGGGTCCATGTGAAGATGGACACTATAGACAACATGAATGGTGCATACAACACCATTGTATGACAAAACTAGTACGTCTTTGAAGCAACTTCACGACACGCCACAAACGGTCTTCTTAAAAATATGCCATCACTGTCAGGAAGGAAGAGGCTTTCTTTTTTGGCATAGATTTACCATGCAACATTTTACGTTTGCAAAACTCCGCTTGTGATGATTCTTAGTGGTTAGTTTCTGGTGTTAATGGTCAGTCCATTGAGTGTTTTGTTACCACGCTAGATATTCCAGTAAGTATACCCTATGTTAATATTACATTCTTACTAATAGACAGCTGGGCAGTGCACCATAACGCTTTAGTCATATATTATTGTGTAAATGAAAAGGAATGTAAAACATGTTTGCTGTCAATAATTAATGAATGGTAAATGTACATTTTTTTCCCTCCATGTCCCACTCATGATGCATTCCCTGGAGATTTTTTTTTTTTTGCATGTTTGTATTTTATTTGTGAATAACTTGACCTTTTTACATATTTAATAAGAAAAGCAAGTATGTTAAGTGAGCTTCTTTTGTATGTTTAACCTGCTATTTGAAAGTTGTTGAGATTCGGATGGATTTGCTGTAATAAAATGTTGGAGGCCACATTGTCATGCTGCACATGCATAACAAATCATCTTCACAGTATGAGAAATAACTTTAAATAGACTTTTTACAGAATGTCACTGGACCAAACTGGAAAACAGTTGAGCAACCTTCCTTTGTGCCCAGCGATCTACAGCACAGGCTGATGACATGACTTGAACCCGGACTTGCTAAAATGTTTTCTATGTTGCTTGGGACAAATGTTAAATACGCATATATAGAGCTGATATGATATTGTGATTTCCTAGAAGCGGGGCGAAGGATTCCTACCTTACAGAAATCATTTACATCAGTCTTTACATTGATGAATATCATAAATTATTACGAAATCATGAAGGGAATTTGAGGAAATTTGTTACGAGATAACTCAAGTGTGGAGCAAACCGGTAGCCTCTCGTAATAATCAGAAACCAAGAAGTTAAAAAAAGTTTGGGAATCCCTTGCCGCATTTCATTGAAAGCGTAAAGTTCTTATCGGGGCACGCTGGTGACAGAATCAAACGCACCACAGTTGTAGTCTTTTCGTCAAGACTTGATAGGGTGGCTCTGAAGAAACTACAGGCGACAATTACTACAAGGTGCCATGTTGACTCCGCTGTAATTTCAGGCAAGTTTTTTCCATAAAATCGGGGCACGCCGGTACTTTAATCGAACGCAACCCAGTTGTCGACGTGAATCGAGCAGCTCAGTAGTATCATTTTCTACATTCGATTACAAGTCCCAAAAAATGCAGGGCTGTAAGTTAATTTCACATTCTCAGTTAGCAAGATGCGGTGTCAAAATCTGTGCAAAGTAGCCTCTGGCGCGGGCGAAACTTCATTGACAAAACATGTCTTCGAGAAAGGTAAGAAACTAGATCGCTGCAGTTGCTAATCAGCTAGTTGTACTGAGTACTTAGTCGGCAGGGCTTTTAGCTTTTCTACTTCGTCTGAGCTCTCACAGCTGATATTTTAAAGTCCCAGAATCGTATGTTAATGAATCCATGTGCTTTTTCTTTGCCCTTTTGTGTGTGTTTCTGTAGCGTAAAAAGTGGTACAAGGATGTGAATTGCGTCTTCTTCCCGGATAATATTGACTGCGGTGTGAGAGGAGACAAAAAAACATCCGCACTTTCGTCATCCTTCTCAGCCAGGAGCTGGGAGAAATGTGGAGAGAGTTTTTTGGACTCTACGCTCAGAAAGGTGGTAAAAAATTATTTTTAATCACCCCATTAATACGCTTAGAGATGACATTTGGTGCTTTGTTGCAGGATGTGAAGACCCCAGAAAGAAAACTGTCAGTTTCAGGTACATTATAGTGAAAAAAAGTTGGTACTTTACGTTAATTCAACAATGTGTTTGGGTGCGCGGGTGTTTGTTGACCCTTCGAGTACCGAATCGTGGTAATGAGCCCTTCCATCATTCTGCGCTTGCTTTCTCCTTTTTGCATCCATCCTTCTTTCATTCCTTTTTTTCCTTCCTTCCATCTATCCAAAGAGGTGGCATAAATGTGGACTCCTTGCCAGCTACCCAACCTAATGTGCATGCTGTTAGTTTGTGGGAATAAGCTGAGTAACTGCCGAAAACCAGCGGAAGCATGAACATGCAAACTTGTAAATTATCCACCTCCCCCACCACAGCCCACAGCAGTGAGGACCCAGTAGACATTGCATGGAGCTCTTCCAGCGACAGCGGACAGTCAGACAACAATGAAATCCAGGAGCAATGGCATCACCAGCCTGTGGTCAAAAAGAGATGGCCGGCTCACTCTCAGTCATGCCCCAAAGCACTTCGCACTCTTTGCGCTGATGAAGGTACATTGGGCATAAGTCTCCCAACAACAATTAAAAAAATATATGTATATATTGTTGTTGTTGTTTTCAATCTGACTGCTGCAGATGACATGGCAGTCATAGAAACAGACGGGTCTGAGCAGGATGTAGAAAAAGATACGGGCCAGCAAATCTCAGACTGCGATTCGCTGCCGTGCAATGAAGAAATCGAAGCCCTCCGAGCTGAGCCTACGGATGTGAGTGAACCATTTGCACGTCAAATTAAATTAAAGTAAAACTACTCACCTACTATGTGCCTAACAAACAGGAACAACGTGTCAGCAGAGACATGTTGTGGCATTCGATGTTGTACCTGATATTGTACCGAGCAGACAGAAGTTACATTTCTTTCTCCGTGGTTATCACACTGGTAAATAATTTTGGGGATGTCACAAAACACATAAAATCTAAAGAACAAAGGTAGACACACAGTGTCAACCTTTAACATGCTCACTAGCTAAAGTCTTACAGCATGTTACATTTTTTAGGTTGAACCCATCTTGTAACATTTCCAATGCTACGGTATCCCATTTTTCTAGCTGAATAGTTGAGTCCGAATGTCTACGTCGTTTCCCTTCTGGCGTCAACCTATTTATGCAGGTAACTAGTTAGATTTGAATGCTGACAGCAGCAGGTCTATATATCCACGTCATTGCTATGTATGAACAATAGATGGTGCTGTCCACCTTCTTAAGGTCGCAAGTCAAGTCTTTCCTACAGAGTCTTGATGCGTGTCCCGTGTTCTGTAAAGTATTTATGTATCATAAGATTATTTTAGATTTATATATTTTTTAAAACAGGTGTGATTTTTGTTGATGATAGTAGAACAGTGATTTATTTTTAATATATGTATTGAGTATTTTTCCACTAGATGGCATGTTCCACGCATGCCTTCAATAGGATCAAACCCTCGCCTGCCTGCTGTGCACTTTTCTAGAACCTTCTGGTTCATGTTCCAGACTGTCAAAGTTCACAAGCTGAAGTTGCAATAAAACCCTGGCCGGCGCTTATCTGCTGCAGCTATTTATCCTGCTTGGTGAATGCTTCTAGGGTGAAGAAAATAGTTTTTTTTTGGAGTCAATGAAGGAGTCCAGCTGTGCTGTTGATGACATATTTAAATCACAGTGTTTTTTTTCACCCCAATGATTGTGATACATGGCCAGTAGGTATAAGACAGTGAAATACCAGCTCTATTATTTATGGAGACAGATAGTTGGGTCAGAATATTTAACTATCTGGTACCCTTGTGACAGCAGCTCATCTGTAATGCTCGCTAGTTGGGTTGAATGTTTATGTTATCACAGCTGTCCATTTTAGCTGCTAACGAGCAGGTACTGAATGTTGAGTATTTGATCTCCTGACTCGAATAGACCGTTTATCCATCCATCCATTATCCGAGTGGGCGTGCTGGAGCCTATCCCAGCTGTCTTCCGCCCGTAGGCGGGGGATACACCCTGAACTGGTTGCCAGCCAATTGCAGGGCACACAGAGAAGAGCAACCATTCACGTTCACGATCACAACTAGGGACACTATAGAGTGCTACCATGCATGATTTTGGAACGTGGGAGGAAACCGTAGAACCCGGAGAAAACCCACACAGGCATGGAGAGAACATGCAAACTCCACATTGGAAGGCTGGGGCCTGGAGTCGAACCTATGCACTGCGAGGCAGACGTTCTAACCAGTTGACCACTGTGCCGCCTTGCTCATTTATGCATATAACTATTTGCCTGTGAATGTTTATCTTGTCGTTATTGCAACAGTCCATTTCACCAGACAACTTGTATGGTCTGAATGTTATCAATATACAATACTGTATGTCCATGCTTAAGACGACCCATTTAGGCAGCTAACTAACTAAAAATCAAAACACGTGAAGTGAATTTTTTTCAGTGCTCACTGAGCTGAAATTTCACAAGTTGTGAATATTGCTCTGCATTATGACTTTACTAGTTAGGTCTGAACATTTATTATCTATATCTTATTCCCGTCTGACAACAGCCTTTTAGTTGGGTCTGAATATTGAATACCGGCTTTTCGCAACCTATCAGTCCATTTTGCATTTGAATTTTTCATGTTACCAGTAGCATGATAACCTCTTCTTCATCACAGGGCAGGGCTGTTTACTATCTATATGCGCTGTATACGTCGGTGGTGTCAAGCCTCAGTGCTGGAGGCTTTGCTTGTTCTCAGGTGCAGTGTTTGTGAAAGGCTGGACTGGCATGGAGGGAATGTGCAGGGAGTGCCGTGAACCAGCTCACAACCGCACATGCTGTTTTTGTTGTTTCAGGTAATTGGTGTGCCAGATTGGGACAAATTAGTGATGTTTGGTGGTTATTGTTTGACTTTGCACCGTGAAGGCTCCTTGCTATCAATTCTGCGTTGGTGGCGTTGCTTCCACCCTTCTCTGTTTTCGTCTTCCTCGTTAGGTCCCCAGAAATAACGGACAAGCTCTTCTGGCGAACGGGACAATTGTTAAGACTAAAGGAGAATCTTGTGAGGAAGTTCTCGAGTTTGTTGAAAGGAAACGCATCGACAGATTAGCATCCCTCCCACAGAGCCAGCTACTTCCTCTTGTCACACTTAATTTTTGCTGCCATCAGCTCTCTGGTGTCAAGTGAAATTCAAGATCATGCTATCTGGAGATGTGTGGTTACAGAACTTCAAGAAAGTAGAAATAGCTTTCATGAATATACTGCTCCACATAAGACTCTTTTTTTATTTGTAGGCCCCTGTCAGCCCACCCCATTACTTTAAACATTAGCAAAGGAAGTGCGGCGAAAGTGTGTACGCATATTCATACTCCACTATATACAATTTTAAAAACAAACAGAATGGGAAAGAAAGAGTAACACACGTGATGAAAATATTTAGATTGTCTATACCAGAGGTGGGCAAAATACGGCCCGCGGGCCGGATCCGGCCCATTGGTCTTTTTAATCCGGCCCGCCGAAGGTTGGTACACAATTAAGGTTCGATGTAAATGATTGCATTCATTTCATTTGGGCTTTTAATGACAGTCATTTCAACGTCAGGTGGCGCAGTTACTTGAAGTTGCAGAGCACGAGGAGGGAAGGGGAGACGATACGGAAGCCCGCAGTAGCGCCAACTCAAGCAACTCCCGCTCGATACGACGGAATAAGTGTGTCCGCGCCGCTATTTTCTATCATTGGATCCAAAACAGCGACATGCAAGTGACTCTTTATTGCAGTTAGTTTTACTGGAATTGCGAAAATATTTACGTCCTGTAGGTCATGGAATCCAAACGAAGAGGAACAGTAATGGCCGCGGAAGAGAAAGTGAAATGTATCGGATTAAACGAAGCAGGTTACAAAGTACGAAACATTCAGGAGACGCTTGGAGTCTGAAAGACTCAAATCTACGAGACTTTGAAAAACGAGGAAGCGATTCTTGCTCAGTCCGATTCTGGCTATTTCCATGCTCAGAGTGAATTGCTTGCGGCTTGACGGACAGTCGAGTAAATAAACGTTTCCTGGAATGGTTTGACTGTTATAGTGCTAAAAACCTTATGCAAACTGGACTGCTAATAAGAGAGGAAGCGAGTTCCAGAGCGCTAACTATGAGCATTGAAGACTTCGAAGCGTCCCGTGGCTGGCTTCAAAAGTTCGTTGCGTGACATCAGCTGAGCAACGCTGTCATGTGTGGTGATCATGGGGAGGTCAAGTCAGAGACAATGAGTGAGTGGAAAGAAAAGCCACCAGGTCTCTTACACGTCTCATTTTGTAGCAAATAATCCTAACTTTGTTGTATTTTGTCATATACCTGTACTGTGTGCTGCAGTTTTTGGGCAATATATTGTTGCACTTTGTTGCTTGTGTTGCCACATGTATGTTGTTAACATACTTTGACGTTCATACAGGACATACCGTATACCATAGTTGTTTCACTGTTCTCATTAAAAAAAAGTATGGGAATACTTTAATGCTTTTGTTCTGTTGATGTTTGGTATGGACTGTCAACATACACAGTTTTTTTTATATGTACTGTATGTTGTGCTGACCCAGCCCACCTGTCAAATTTAGAAATCAATGTGGCCCCCGAGCCAAAAAGTTTGCCCACCCCTGGTCTATACAGTCGAACCTCCAAAGTCAAACACAATTCTCCTATGACGTTGATTGTTCTAAACTGAAAATACATTTTCCTTGGGAAATAATCAATTTGGGCGGCCCCGTGGTTAGTGCGTTGACATCGCAGTACAGAGGTCGTGGGTTTGATCCTGGCTCCGGCCTTCCTGTGTGGAGTTTGCATGTTCTCCCGGGGCCTGCATGGGTTTTCTCTGGGTACTCCGGTTTCCTCCCACATTCCAAAAACATGCATGGCAGGCTGATTGAGCACTCTAAATCGTCTTTAGGTGTGAGTGTGAGCGCGGACGGTTGTTTGTCACTGTGTGCCCTGCGATTGGCTGACACCCGGTTCAGGGTGTCCCCCGCCTACTACCCAAAGACAGCTGGGATAGGCTCCAGCGACCCTTGTGGGGATAAAGCGGATCGGAAAATGGATGGATGGAATAATCCATTTGTTCCAGGCTCAAACAATCAATGTCTAAAAAAATAACATCAACCTAAAGTAACCTTTTTTTTTTTTTTTTTTTTACCTACCTAACTATCTTGCGCACATGACGACTGTAAATTAAAATGAAAATAAAGCACCTGACAGATGAAAAGGAAATGTAGCAGGTCTTTGCAAAACACGCCAGTCACCTACTGGCAAGTTTTAAGAATTGCTGGATTTAATCAGCGCCTGGTTAGCCACACAATTTTTGCAGGCAGCCCATTTTTTCAGGTCATCAGTTAGGGTCAGAAGGCTTACTCTCTGTTTCCTTTCCTTGTACAGCCCATTTCTGCATCTCGCTAGTGGGGTCTGATGTTTACGATTGTTTCCATGATCGCAGTTCCCAATTGTGGCAGTTAATAATCTGAGGCTGGATGTTTATCTGTTCCTATTCTCACAGCAGCCCATGTAAGCAGCTAACTAGTTGGGTCTGAATGTTTTTCATCTCCTTCCCTTCTGACATCAATCTGCTTTTGCATTGAACTGGGACTGTTTGAATATTGAGTTTGTTGCCACTCACTGCACCCTGTTTTCTCTCATGTGGGAGCCCATATAGGCAATCAACTTGGAAGACTGGATTGTTTACTTTGTTTCCTTGATCTGAGGAGCTCATTTTGGCGGATCTGTGGGTCTGAATGTGAACACTCCGGTTCTCCTCCAACAGCAACCCATTGAAGCATCTAACTAGTCGGCTCTGAATGTTTCGATAGTTTTCTTAATCTAAAAGCATCTGTGTTCATTATTTGAATCCTTCTAACAGAACTCAGAGAAACATCTTACTAGTTGGATCTGAACGCTTAGACCCCCCACCCCCCCTCACACACACACACACACACACACACACACACACACACACAGCGGCCCTTTTGGACAGTAAAATGTTGACTTTTTACCACTTGATATTGTTTTTGTTTTGCTATTGACTTGTGGATGTTAGACATCACAAAGTATTTATTATGGCATTGAAAATTCGCACCGTTTATCACCGTATCGTCTATTTCCACTTCTATGGTTGCCATCATACTTTTGCTCTTTTCTGTCATCCTTGGCCTTCTCATGCCACATATGAATCACTTTTTTACCTTTTAGACGCTCACATTTCTGAACCGTCACAAGACGTGCCGATCTCACGATGATGCTTTGAACCCCCATGTTTTGCTTTTCATTGTCTAGCTTTGTGAATTCCAAGAAGACAGCACAACACAGCTGTTTGCCTCACATATAATTCCAGTCCTTACTGGAAAGCTCACACGGACTCATCCAATCAATCCTAAATCAAACCGGATCTAACGGGATCCTGACGGCCAGGTCCAGGTCCCAAAAGTTTATGACTCCAGATAAATGCGCATCTGACTCACTGAAGCAAAGCCTGCCAGATTTGTGGTGTTGTACTTGCGCTGGAAGTACGCAGGAGGAGCTGCGAGGGTGGTGTTTTGTTTCAAGGACTGCTTCCCAGATGAAGCTCACTCGCTCACTCCATACCCCTTAAGTCGGCCACTCTTAAGGTTCACTAACGTCCGCCCCAAATGGCTGGCTGTTTTTTTTTTTTTTTTTTTTACTACCGTTTGTTCAGGAGAAGCTGCTCGCGGACGCTCACACGGTGTACTCAGAATGCTTTCAGCGTTGGGTTAAAAGGCATTTTTGAATCAGGGCCAGGAACACAGTGTTCCTCTCTCTCGCTCTCGCTCTCGCCTTCGCTCTCCCTCACTCTCTTGCTCTGTGGCTGTAGCTATGGCGTGACGTCGCCTGGCGCCCGGCCCGGCAGGGTCAAGTTGATTCAAATGGGAGAGCTTGGTATGCTGGTCTTGTCTACACATGACAGGAGTTCAGGTTTCATGTGGATTTTTCCATGAGATCTGATTGCATCAGTTGCAATGAGTCATGACGCAGCAAAAAAAAAAAAAAAAGAAAGAAAGAAAAGCAAAAGAAAAAAATGGCTTGGGAATGATGCAGCATGCCATAACCTTACAGCGCATATTTCACATTACAGTACTGTATTGGATTTAAAAATGGATGTAGTGTACGTACAAATAGGCACAAGCATGAAAATAGAAATCCTTGAGCGATAAAACTGGAAAAAAATAATGCTCAATTATCAATAAAGTTAACTTTTTGGGTCGCCATTTGGTTAGGTCTACCTGTATATTATTTGCTTTTCCTCCGTTTAGCCGGCTAACTAGTTGGGCTTGCACGTTTGTTCCCCTTATCACAATAAAATCGCTAACTAATTGAGAACAGAATGTTTATTTTGCTCCCTCTCTTGCTGCAGCCCATTTAGGCATTAAGTAGTTGTACACAAAGTTTTTCCCCCTTTGTCATAGCAGTCAATTTACCGTAATCAGCTTACTAGTTTGGTTTTGAATTTTTGTTTTGCTTCCCTTCTTTCAGTAGCCCATTCATTCAAGTAACTGTCGATTTTGGAAGACAACCAGTTGGGGCTGAATGTTTGTTTCCCTTCATACATTAGCCCATTTAATCGTCTCATTTCAGTCATTGGGTTTGACTGTTTACTGGGTTACACTTTTACACCAACCCATTCAAGCAAGTTACTAATTGTGTTGCACATCTTACTGCACACATTTGGGGATATAACTACTTGTGTCTACTAATTGGGTCTGAATGTTTAGTTTTTGTCTATCGACAGCAACCTCTTTAGTTATAATCGGGTCAAATAAGTTTCCATTGTTTTCCTTCTAACATCAGCCCATTTAAGCAGTTTACTTACTGGGTCTCAATGATTACTCTGAGTTCGTCTACAGCAACCTATTTAGGCAGCCGCAGCAAGCTACTCTGCTCAATATATTTACGGTAATTGTTTCCCTTGTTATCCCAACCCAGTTACTCATCTTACCAGTTGGGTCTGACTGTTTTTGCTACAGTAACGAATAGCTGTTTTAGACAACAAATTGGGTCTGAATGTTCGTGTGTTTCCCTATAGTAGTTGATTTAAGCAGCTACGGTATCTAGTTGGGCACTTATGTTTACTTCTTACAACAGCTCATTTACACAGTAAACGAGTTTGATATGTAATTCTTATTTTTCCCCATGCATATCGCAGTTGGACATCTCGGGCTATGCGTCCGATGGAGAGACCGACTGTGAAATATTGACCACAAGCATACTGGATGGCGAGAGCCTTCAAGGTGGCAGCGGCGATAGCAACAAAAGGTCTGTCAGCAATTGGGTCCGATATGCTCATGCCATGCTACAGACGCCGAAGAAGACATTTGACGGGCAGTTGAAAACCCCTGAAGATTCGGCCAAAAAGAAAAGGAAGTTTCAAAGGTGAGACGGAAGATTATAAAAATATATTTTCAGGGATGGGAGAATTGCTGCACATTCACACTGGCAGGTGGGCTGTAATCAAATTCCACGGGCATTGTCAGTGAGGCAGCGTATTTGTACTTGAATAGCTCTGCGTCAACAGCACTTTCCAGATCCATTCATTCATTCCATTGCGTTTATTTTTTTGAAGATATGACTTCATAAAATGTGGAAAGAAAGAAAGAAAGCAAGTGTGGTACTTAAAAACATCAGGGACACATGAAGGTGATGTTTCCACATTTTGCTGAAAAAAACCCCACCTGTCTAAAGGTCATCAGCATCGTGAAGATCATCTTCATCTGTGGTGGTTTGTCGGCTTACTGAGAATTTTCTTGAACTGCAAAATATGGCACATATGCCTATCACATTTCACCATCTATGTGTGTTTGTGTGCGTGTTGAACAGCGGCGGTCTTGCAGAGAGGCTAAATCGACTTCACTGCAGGCAGAGATCAGCTGTGAGCTTCTGGAGGTACCGCTCCACCTCAGACAACTGGACAGAAACAAAAGGTGCCCAGAGCCCCTTTCACACTTGAGCCTTTTACTCTTGAGTTTGAGCAAATTTGGAATGGCGGAAACACCACTGTAGATGTGTAATGAGTTACAATAGGCCACCTTTACTTTTACACAGAATCCAGCAATTACTTGATACTGCGGCAGCTATGTGCAGTTTCACACAGTGATAATGGCATTCTGCAAATCAGATCATTACATGCATGACATCGGTGGCGTGGGAGAAGAGAGTATTCCCTTTCACACACGGCCTCCATTTCTGCTTCCGATACTTCCTCCGAAAGTTAGGAAATGTTTGGCTCAACCTCAACCTCCCTGTTTCTGTCAGTGCCTTTCACGCAGAACAGCAACATGGAACATACACTACTTTTATAATGAGCAAAAATTTTATGACCGCGACATTTGCTTTCAACACAGTGTGGGAGAAGTGAATGTCTGGTGTTAAAGTTGACAGCCCCTTACTAGATTTTCACGTCTTTTTCACATAGCCGTCATCCCTCCTCTTTTTTGCTTCTTGACACGACAGGAAAATACAAAATACTACAGGAAATTTGCAACTTCAGTCCCCCTTTCTCGATTGATAGCACCCGTACAGAATAGCAATGAGGGTGGAGGGGAAACTGTTGGCCAACAGATATTACTTTCAACACAACCGCTTGGGAAGTAAGTCTTTGGTGTTTAACTTCTTTACGCCTGTGATGCGACTTCTGAAAGCTAGGAGATTAGCGGTTCAAATTCAAATCTCCCACCTCCAATTCTCTGCTGGTCAATTTTGTATTGAACAGTAATGACAGAGAAAAAGCAAGTCGCTTACGGGAAACACGGTTGGAGAAGAACGAAGCTTTCAACACAATAGCATGGGAAGAAGTGCGTTCCTGGTGTTTACCTTTACATTTTCATCCTGACTTTTGACTCGTCATTTACACGCAGCCATTATCCAGCCTTTGATACTATATCCAAAGCTTGAATGGGCACGAGTCGATTGTGAATTAACACTGCAATTATTTTGACACTTAATGTGACATTGTAAAATATGGGATGTTTGTTTGTTTGTTTGATGATAGGTGAGTGTTTATAGAGACAACATTGTGGAAGTGGAAGTATGCTTGAACCCTGAACTCACTATAGGTTACTGACAGGAAACTGTCTGCCAACTTCTTGTTTTCCTTTCCGCGGTGTTCCTTATTACCTCTTGCGGTCTACAAAGAGTCGCTAGCACAAAGTTGACAGTTGATCATGGAAAAAAATGGGGCATTTGGTAGCTTCGATTAATGTAACACATCAGGTGCATAGGCCTCATCTCATGAGATTTAACGCAGTTTACCATCCTTGATACTGACCCTGTGCCGTACTCAAAGCTGTTTCTAATATTTTGATTGTGCTATCTACATATGAGTGTCAATATATAAGGAGCCCCTTTAAATGTGAGGCTGTGCGGCCTGACACTGTTGCAAACTAACACCACAACACTCAACATATTCAATGAACATGTCATGGACAGTATCAATCCTGCCTGTTGTTGTAAACCCTTTATTTAAGCCTGGCAATATTTAAATGAAGTACCTTGGTTAAAATTTTCTGCAGCTTTTGCTTCCTCCTGACCCAAATCTTTGGTTACGACTCACTGGGGGTTAGATTATACTGATGTGTTCACCATGTAGGATTTAGTACACAGAGCAGAAATGCAGCCCGTGTTTTGACAAATGCACATTGAAAAATGCAATAATAATAGCTCTCTTGTGGACTCTTTGATATTGTTTCAACGTATCACACTAAAATACCCCCTTAGGCCACGCTCAGGGAATCATTAAAACTCACAAAGCTGTATTGTGTTCAAGTTGACTGGCTGCCATTTCACAATCCAGCGCAATCAACTTTACACCCCAAAGTGCGCGCACCGAGCCAAGTCGCTTTCTTTTTGATTCGGCCGCTTGGAGGCTTTTTTTTTTTTTTTGGCTCTCCTGTATTATCTCTGTCGACAAACAAACAAGTCAGTCACAGTGGGCTCTAAAATACTATGTTATGGATCTGCTCGTCACAATGACAGCCGCTCTGTTCACGACAGTGAATGATAGAATCTAAAAGTGCGCAACTAACACTAATGAGTCCTTCAGAGAGTTGACCGCCAGCACACAAGGGCGCACACACACTCACCATCTGTGTTGTTGTTGCTCCGCTCTCCAGCGGATAGGCCCGGCATGCTGGTGCTGGAGGTGCTGGAGGTTCAGGAGGAGTGCGGCGCGCAACTGGTGCGCTGCCAGCACCACCCACCGCTCGGTCCCGCCAACCCCCATGTGCTGGTGTTACTCTGCAGGGAGACTGCAGTGCAGCTCAGCCCGACGCCCGCCGACATCATCCACATACACCCACCATGGTGAGAGGAGAGCATGAACTGTATTCATATAAAGCAGGGGGATCTCAAACCCCGGTCTTCTGGGCCGTTATCAGTCCCCTGCAGAGCTTGCTGATGAGCTCATCATTTGAATCAGGTATGTTGCGGCAGGGAGAGACGGAAAACAAGCAAGAAAGCGGCCCTCTAGGACCGGAGTTTGAGACCCCTTTTATAAAGTAAATGCCGAGTCCACCACTGGCCTTACTGTATTAATTGCCTATTTGCATCCTTAAATTAGACATTTATAAACAGAGTTCCATTCCAATTAGGTTAAGGACAAGGGCCGGTTGTTGTTGTTTCCCAAGTGCAAGAGGAGGTTACACAAAATGCATCAAAACAGTTCACTCGTGCCAGCATAGAAATAAACAAGTCATTAAAATAAGAGCCTCACCCATAAAAGGACTCTCCGGCTGGATATCTACAGCATGCCAGTTTTAATTTAATGCATAGACAATATCAGATTTTTTTTTCTTTTTTTTGGGTGGGGAGGGGCGAGTGGTTGGTATTTCCATGTACATTTCAAGTACATATCATTGACAAATGTGTGAAACAACGCACATGGGCAGACGCCCAAATTCAACGTAAAAAAAAAAAGTTAACAGTAATACATAAACAAATCCAAATCAACTTTACCAAGCATTTAGTTTGCCTGAGATGACTCTTCCTAGCCATTATTCCACTGACCGCTTTCTGCAAACATTTTGCACCAGGTTGCCCCCAAGGGCCACATGAGCAAGCCTCAGCCCTGTTCTCAAAACAGCTCACCAGTGATGAAGCAATTGTGATTTCCCACGCACGTTGTAGTAGTGATCATTTAAAAATATGAACACGGGCGGATAGTTCCAAAAATAAAATGTTGCATATTGATATTTCTGTATCTGTTTCCTAATTATTATGAGAAATCATTCACATGATCAATGTCTTCACAACATTGGCCGATTGTTCTCCTATTTTGGGGTAATGTTTGAACCTCCTGATCTTGAATGTGTACAAAATATTTTGTAAAAAAAACAAAATACAAATCACCAGACATTTTTGGTTTTGCTGATTTTTGATCATTTTGAAAGAGCTAATATCAACCAATTAAATAGCATTATTCATGGCCATTTGAACACATTTCCAAAGTGCGTATCAAAGTGGCATCAACCCTTGGCTTCAATCTCTTCCCAAGGAGGAGCACTCGGGTTCAAAAAGGTTAGTGACTCCCTATTAAGGCCAGATGTAATTGCCGATGCTATTGCAGTAGTGGACGTTTACAGGTGTCGCAATACGAAAATGTCCAAATCTGTTTACAGACAATGCTCCCAACGTGCTTTATGCCAAAGAGCTAATGGAATAAATCCAAACCATTTACTTATGCCGGCAGAAAATTAATGAATCATTCAAATAAAAGCCTCATACATCAAAACTCTTAACGGGTTGTAACATGCACAGCAATAAACACTTAAGCCACAGGTTCAACTTCTCAAAGGGCTCCATTTAAAAACAAGAACAACAGCAACATTATTTAAAGTGCACTTTTCCAGTCCATGATACGTAATTGGCTTGTGTTTGCATTTCAACTTGATGAAACGACTACTTAAAGGTATCGTTTTCAAGTAGCAGTTCCTGGGCGAAACCACTCATTGGTAGCATTTGAAGATACACTGCTAGAAAGGACAAAAACAATCACTCAAAACGTAACGACGTTAGCCTGAAGCTGAACCTTTACTCTGGACACTACCCGACACACATTGCACTCAAGTGTGTGTAGGGTAGCAAGTAGAGCTGATACTGTGCAAGTGTCATCATAATACTTTAACTTACATTCAAGATTTCTCTTATTCTTAAATTTGATATGTGTTTTTTCGTCCAACATTGATGTCATTATCTAGTGAGGCTAAGCGGTTTGGAAAAATGGATGGATGGATGGATGGGCTTTGTGTGTAAAATATTGTGATATTGCGCCATTCCTGTCCAACTCTAATGGTCCTATTTACTAAATAAATGTCTCAAATTAGTTTTATAAGGCTCTAAAAGAAATTCTTTAAAAGTCTTAGATTTGGCTTGCCTATAAACTGGCACACAACCTGTCTTCTATTTTTGTGTGTGTGTGTGTGTGTGTGTGTGTGTGTGTGTGTGTGTGTGTGTGTGTGTGTGTGTGTGTGTTATCTAAGTTTTTATTTATTTATTTATTTATTTTAAATCATTGCATTAGCAGGAGCATGACCTTTAGCATAGTACTGCCAGTCACACGTTTGACGTCCGAGTACATGCGTAATTTTTGAAATTGGTGACCGTGTCAGTTGAAGAAAGTACACTCTGTGAGCTAAAATAAGAGGAAGAACATGCACCAACGTGAGAGAAAAGTGCGTGTTCAGTAAAACCACTTCCCTGCATTTCCGTCTTTTGGATATTTTTTTTGTGCGGGACAAATTCATTTCTGGGCAGCAGTTCAAAAAAAAAAAAAAAAAAGAGAGACACTTGAGGGCAATTGCACAACAAAAGAGTTCACTCCCAGCAACATGCCGGACAAAAGGGGAACAGGAAGTGTTGAGCAGGGACTGTTGTTCGACCATGGGCCATTTCGATATATGCACAAATTCAAGATATGACACAATTTGAAATAACTATTGAGGTGCATGAAGTAATAATTAGCTTTCCATCCATCCCTACCTTATCCGACCCACATATCCTCAGGAGGGTCGCAGGTGGGTCGCAGGTGTGCTGGAGCCTATCCCAGCTGATTTCGGTCAGCAGGCGGGGTACACCCTGAACTGGTTGCCAACCAACCGCAGGGTACAAATGGACGAACGACCATTTGCGCTCTCAGTCATACCTAGGGACAATTTAGAGCGTTCAATCAACATTAAGATTTGTGGTATGTGTGTATTAATGTTGACATCTGTGTTTTCACAGTCCAGTGTTGACGCTTGTTAGTTATTGATATGCAATTTGGGAGTCAGCGCATGTGGGGCACTTCATGTGTTTGTGTAGGATATGTGTTGCATGCAAATGAAAATGCTAAAATTGGATGTAGGCATTTAATCAGAATTGGACACGTTGACCTTCAGTGCAAATTCAGGCTTAGATACAACAGCTGTGACTTTTGTGTGTAAAGTCCTGATTTTTCTTTTTTTTTTCTTTCTTTTTTTGCCCCGTTATCCCCATATCAGCACCAAAGGCCCAGATGCGCCTCGCAGTCACTCACATGGAGTCCAGATAGGCGGGGGCCGTGGTATGTTTGAGGCTTGTTTTGGAGTGGGAGCGAGGCAGTGGTCGACTCCAGCTGTTGGGAGTTGGGAGTGCACTTTGGAATATACAGGCTGGAGGAAGCGCTGGGGCCTCCTCAACGTACTGACGTCACGGACAGCTCCAGGGAATGCTTCACATTCCTCTTCCTGGCAGTCGTTAGGTCATTTCCAGCAAGTTGAGGGGGGGGGAAACACTCGATTATTTTCTGGAGCGTTTAGGGAGCGCAAATGTGAGAGGGAGCCAAAAGAAAGTGATTTGAAACACATGGTGGCTTCAGCACCTTTCATTTTTGTAAATCATGTTAGAATCGTGGTCCGTTCACGCGCTCCAAAGACATTTTTTTTTCCACATGAACCGTAAATTCTCCAAAGCGTATTTAGACATAGAATAATGCTTTGTACAGAACGAGGATACAACGGTTGTTGTCAGTGGAAAAAAACCCTCACAATGAAGGCATCCGAATGTCTTGTAAAATTGCTCTTTTCAAGCTTGCTGCATTTATCACCCCATCAATCCTGTTGTGCGTAGGATGTCTCCGCCCATACCTACCCTGCCCCTGAGTGGGCTGCGGTTGGAACGGAAATACCTGCGTGGATTATTCACCTACACGCTGTGACGCCAGCAGCCGGCCACTCCTTACCTGTCAGCTGCCCACTCACCTCTTCCCAAAGAGGAATCAACTTCCTCTTCCTGTTCCGCTTACAATACTGTACGTTCCGCTCCAGTAATGCACTGTAGTGCACGTGCATGCTGATGACTGATCTTTGGCCAACATGATAAATGGTGTCATGCTTAATCACACTCCTTATACAATGACTGCGCCGTTTTAGGGGGTTTTGGATAGGCAGCGGAAGTCCATGTTTGCTAAATATCTTCTGCTGATCACTGATGTCGTTTTTATAATACACATTTGGTGCAAAAATACTTTTGATGAATGTTTGCCTGTTACTTGTTTGTCAATATAGCGAGTGAACATGATGAATTGTGGCCAAAATCACTTTAGTTCACGGATAACATAACGAATTTGGATGAGGCTAAAAGAACAGAAATATGCAAAACAGTAAAAATGTATGGGATGCTCTTGATGGTCACCTTTAATGAATTAAATAAAGATCAGAGTCTGAGATATAGCTTCATTTAACCTGTAGAAGCCCTCCTTGATGGGGAAAAATGCATACTAGAAAATATGCCCTTTGTCTATATGATTTCATAATATATAATTACCATTATTTTTTTTAAAAAGTTTAAAAATATCTATATTTTTAATGATTTACCGTAATTGTTCCTCACAGCTGTTTCCCCCAAAGGGTTAATCGTTCGGATGAAATTAAACGGCTTTAACATTTTATGCTTTCTAATCGGACAACAATGCAAAGTCATTCATTTGTGGTTATGAGTCAAAGCATGAGGCTTTGTGGTGAGGCAGGACAATATGATCTTTGAAGAGATAAGAAAATAAGCGCTTTCTCTATGGGGGTGGGGGTGGCATCATTTGTCAAAATTTGTCAAAACATGCACATAAACACAATCCTTCATCAAGTCACTTTTCAAATGTGCAACAATTTAACATCAAATGAGCTATCCAACTGCATGGCTTGGCTGGTGCAGATCTGTTGTGAAATAGCGCATCCCCCTCCAGCTCTCCCACGCTCCTTTCCCATGTCGAGTGGTACAGGTGAAGCAAGGAAAAAAATGTTTGCGGCTCAAAATCACATTCCTCCGATCATAAATTTAAAACATGAATAAACAAAGATACAAAAATTAATGCTTTTGCACCTTCTGAGAGGCCCCATGGTTTTGGAAATGGTCTGCAAGATTGCCTGACATCGGTCTAATTTCTCGTCATACGGAAACCATTGAGGTCTCCTCTTTAGCAGGAATTCAGCTTGCTAGTCACTGAAAAACATTTTTTTTAAAAATAGACACTAACTAAGCAACACTGAATGTGCTTTTGTATGTAAACCTCTCTGTTTGCAGCCCTGTTGTTTCAATCAGGACATCGGCGGAGTTGTACTTCGAACTCTTAAATCCTCCCCAAAAAATTAATAAATAAACTTCCTGACAAATTTGAATTTAGCCATAAAATTGAGTATCCACGTAGCCTTAATATAAATAAATAGAACACAAATATACCATCAAAGGTCAATACATATATATATTTTTTTTTTTGTTAAAGTAATTGTGAGTAATCCTGATTATATTTCACGCACTAAAAGAAAATTGAAATGTAGAAAATCAAAAGCAAAATACTGTAAATGCATTGTCAAGGATTGTCAACCGTGCCCCGCTCCTCCCACCGCATCTTTTTCCCTTCCCCGAAGTGTTACTTGTTTGGGCACAAATCAGCAACCCTGTGACTTGAACGACTCCAATCATTAAAGTCATTTGTGAGTCAACGCATCATGCTTGGTGGCCCGCCAAACGCTGTCTTGCGCTCTTTTAATTGTAGCCCTAATTAACTCTGGCCTATGCCCAAGTGTATACCGTGGATGATACAGTATGCTGTGCAAGAAAATACCCTTTAAATGGTGCATACAGTACATGCCTAGAGTGTTGACTGTCATTTGTTGTACTTGGCGGCATGCATTGCCAGGGTGAATTTGGAATCAATCAAGGACAATAGCACTGTATCGAAGATTACATTTGGGGAAGAAAAAAAAAATAAACACAAATCACAATTCCGTTTCTGATTTGAGAATAATATTTTCCAGTGGTGCACAATTAAACAAACCTCTTTGTACGTGCACGTCGTCTTGCTGTTTCATTCGCACCCACGTCAGAGACAAGCTGCAACACGCATGCCAGATCCAGTCACAGAGTGCACTTGGCGCTGACTCAGCAATAATCCACCATTCTATTCTTCATGTCACATGTGGAAAGACTTAGTCGTAAATCAGTACTACTATAAACAATGTGCTGTGTAATTATCAGGGCTGTTTTTCAAGTTCCTTTAATACTCGGGAGAGGTGCTGCTCACTCACTCTCTCAGGTTTAGATGCACAGGGCCAAACCCGAAAGGTTTTGCTTGGATTTGTTTTTAGAAATCATTTTCAAATGTCCACTTTGGCACATACACACAAATTAAATGCAAAAGTAAAGGCAAAGAAAAGCGTGCAGCTTCATTCTCGTGTCATCGGCTAACAGTCAGCCTGCCCACTTGCGACAGGCGTGGATGTGTTTTTCTGATGATGTCACATCCGCAGGGCATTTGAGTGTAGCTGTGCCCGATTGCATTTACAGTCGTAGTTGGTGACAGCCACACCTAGTAGAGCGTAGAAAACATAGCCAACATATAACATCTAGTTTGTGCATTTCTATCAACGAATTTGACCTCAATGTTTTCGGATTTTTCAATTCCTGAAGTGGCATAGTATTCCATAACAGTGTGAGATCAGCATGAGGAGAAGGTGTCAGGTAGCTATGGCTGCGTATGTCGTTCTTCCACATCCTACTTAAGCTCATGATCATTTTAGCCCAATGCTGTCCCGAAACAGTGCCATACCATAGGACACTGAAGTTCTTGAATATCCATCCATCCATTTTCCGATCCGCTTTATCCTCACAAGGGTCGCGGGGGGTGCTGGAGCCTATCCCAGCTGTCTTCAGGCCCGAAAATAATAAGTTGCACAATTGTCAGAACCAAATCTTGCTTCATCCTTTTTACTGACACCGAACAAGTCGACACCAACAGAGAAGATTTATCGCACGTTTTAAGGGTCTGAGTTGTGCGGCTCGTCCCACAAATACATGTTCCTCACCAATGGAGCATTGTTCCAAAAGAAAATAAACAGGCTTTGCGCCGTATAAAGCGTATGTGCGAGAAGCATACATCTGTTGCGCATTCTAACTTTCCTTGTAGAGCTCATATATCAAAGTTTGACATGAAACTCCAACGTTCCAACAGTCTTATTCCCTCTTGTTGATTTTTATACATATATATTTTGGCTGATAAACCTCACTCATTTCTTTACAGGCAACGTCTCTCTGTGGAAAGCTTAGGCTATGATATTATTCTTAACACACACTTCAGCCAGAAAGTCAACTCTGCGCCGCCCAGAGGCCAGTTTGAGGCCAAACGGCTCGTACCGTACCCTCTATGTCAGACGTTTGGAACGCTGGAGGTTTGCGGGGTCGCAGAGGAAATGGATAACGAACAGGTACGTGTAACATTGAATGATGTCGGTCCTTCTTCAGGCTTTTGGTGAATTTCTAAGCCAATTGTGCTGAAGTTGTCAATACATTTGTCCAATTTGCACTTCTGTTTTTTTCAGGTAGCTGCCTGTGATGGTTCCAGCAGGAGGAGCTCAGCTGTCCTGGCAACACAATGCCATTCTCTCCTGGAAGCTATAGCGGGCCTGGGCCAGACTGGTTCTGTGGCCCAGCATGTGGTGGTGGTGGTGGTGGTGGTCCAGAGGGTCTACTCCATCCCCGTGCCTTCTGCATCCATCGCTAGCATCAGACTGCACTCCAAGACCTCCTCCGCTGCTCCTCCTCTTGAGCAAGGCAAACGCAGGTACTGTCGAACCACCCCCAACCCCCCACACACACATCTCCAGGCCTTGAGTTTTTTCACCAGAAAAATCTGGAACACATTAAATATTTCATGTGTTTTGGGATGCTTTCGGGACCACGATGTGGAGGACTCCTTGGTGGCACAATGTGTCTCAGTGGTCAGGCTATTGTTCGCATCCCAGAAGGCCGAACAAAGCGTGCACACTGTAGCCATATGCCGTTGCTTGACAAAAGGACACAAACATTGTCTTATTGAATCCAGCCGCACTGCGAATGACACGTGCCAAATTCTCCACCAAAAAAAAAAAAAAAAAAAAAATGGAGCCATAGTGATCTTTTGGAATCTCATGCACCAGCATGCCAGAGTTGAATTGCTGCCCACTTGCTGGCTGGAACAGGTTTGTAACCGTTACCTTAATTTTGCAAAAACAACATATAGTGTGTGTGTGAAAGGGTGCCACGCTAATGACAGCTGTGGTCGCCTCCAAACGTTGATTGTTACACTCCAACACCACAACACAAAAACTAGGAATACACAATGATAATCAACCACATTTTATCCCACTGTGTCTATTCCAGGTGTTTGTGATACTGTACTGTTATTCAACCATGCTCAGTCAACTCAGCCTGAAGTGAATAGAATAGAATGGAATAGGATGCATAAGGTCCGCCATGCACTGAGCAACAGGGCTGTAATTAGTTTTTATTAGTGGCCAACCATCGGCAACTAGTTTTGCTACGATTCAAAGCTTGATTCGCAGATGTAAGGGACAATCAAAAATATTGTGTCGTGTAATGTTTTCTGGAAACACAGCGAGATCCGGCAGCCGTAAAGGGTTGGGCCAGGGGTTGGCAACCCAAAATGTTGAAAGAGCCATGTTGGACCAAAATAAACAAAAAACAAATATGTCTGGAGCCGCAAAAAATACAAAGCCTTATAATGAAGGCAACACATGCTGTATGTATCTACAGTATATGACCTACAGTACATTAGCCTGCTATCAACATGACTAAGTTGGATACAAATACACAACGAGCATTCATGTTTAAAAGTTTTTTTTCCCCCCTGCAGTTCATCCTGTAGTGGAGGGGTGCCCAAACTTTTTTGACGGAAGATCTACTTTTCGAACAACCAACCTCCCGCGATCGACCCTTTACCGCACACGCGCGCATACACACACACTTACACCCGCATGCCGTAATGAGATGAACAAGGCACGGGACGCACTTTCGCAGCGTGCTAACTATCGTAGCTCACATGTACCGTTTAAAAATGCTTCTCTTGGCCGCCCTGATTCCCATTCTTAGCAAGTACCCTCGGTGACTTGTACATGAAAGGCAGCAGGTTTTTTTTTTTTTTTTAACAACAGCCTCCTGACTGACATCCCTAATAGAAACATTTTTTTTTTTACAACAGCCTCCTGACTGACATCCCTAATAGAAACGTGTGTCGCAGGCAATGACACAAATATTCGTTGATGAAATGTTGACATTTAATATTTATTCGACACATTTTTACAGCATCGGAAAACGTTAATGTTTGTGTCACGTTTGTCCTCTGACAGAAACCATATTAAAACCAAAAAATATATTTCCCTCCCATCTTTTTCTATTTTCAAACATTTTGGAAAAAGCTCTAGGGAGCCATGTGGGGGGGAGAGGGATGCTAAAGAGCCACATGCAGCTCGGGAGCCGCATGTTGCCGACAACCCCGGGTTGGACGATATATGACCGAAAAATATATCATAGTATAAATATTTCATATTGGTTGATATCGATGCATATTGATTTTTAACAATATTAATTAAATAAGTCAACGCAATTATGAAAAAGTCAAATAAATTGCTACATATAAAGATGAAATAAATGCCTTTTTAAACATCGTCCATTCATATTTTGTCTGATTTTAACTTGATTGCGATGCCAAGGGTCTGACATGGCTAACACTGGCGCTAGCGTGTCAAAGACAGAGAACTACACTTGTACACCACCATCTGGAGGGGTTTAATCGGGTTTGTGTGCAAGAGTTTTACTGGTCGACTGGTCATTTATTTGAACCAAATTATGCCTTTGTCTTGTTCCGCGTGAGTATGCTGCATCTTCTTTGTGTCTGGAAGCGGCTGCACACGACAATGCCGTAGCTGGGGTTTGTTTGCGAACATTTTATCAAAGGCATTTTCTATTGATGTCGATCACATGTCTATCGCGATACTTCTTGATATTGAATTACGGTCCAATCCTACTTGAGAATAAAATGTCACACAGATTAAAGTAGAAAAATGTTAACAAATATAATACTCGCGAAACAGTTGGTCATGCCTGCAACACATTCTGCCATCTGTTTTTTTCCTGACATGATTTGTGTTGCCATTTCTTCTTTCTTCTGCCCAAAGTAAAAAAAATCGCACCACACAAATTGCTGGAAAAATCTGTGGTAGCATAAAACGCTGTTGAATTTCAAATATTAGAAAAAGCTGCATCCAAACCTAACCATATTGCCCCCAATAGATAGGACCACACGCTGTGTACGTGCATGGAGCTAATTTTGCTGTTGTAGTGACAACATCCGTTGCAAAGTGACACACAGCAGTCCTTGTTTGAACCACCCACCACTGTTTCCCAGAACTTTAAAAGTACCCCTCTCATTGTATTCACCCATTTTTCTGGCAGTTGAAGCGCTCCAGTTTCCTCCCGCTATTGTGAATGGAGCAGGGTGTTTACTGGCTATTACTCCATGTCTACTCTGTGACAATCACACCATGTTGTTTGTGGTTCAATGCAAAATACAAAACTGGACGACGCTGGGGCACTGCACATATTTCATTGGAGGCGCTAGCAGTATTTCCTCCCTTTTTGTAGATCCCATGTGTTGCCAATAAGTTTGCCACGTTTTTTTGTTTTCCAAATAATTATACGTACATGTGTGGCCCGGTTGTCCAGTGGTTAGAGTGTCGACCTCACAGTGCAGAGGTCGTCAGTTCGATCCCGGCTACGGCCTTCCTGTGTGGAGCTTGCATGTTCTACCCTGTCCTGCGTGGGTTTTCTCTGGGTACTCTGGTTTTCTCCCACATTCCAAAAACATGCATGGCAGGCTGATTGAACACTCTAAATTGTCCCTCGGTGTGAAAGTGACTGCGGATGATTGTCTATGTGTGCGATCGGCTGGCAACCAGTTCAGAGTGTTCCCCGCCTACTGCCCGAAGACTGCTGGCATAGGCCCCAGCACGCCCCGTGACCCTTGTTAGGACAAAGTGGTTCAGAAAATGGATGGATATTTATACATGCAATATGTATTTTCGCCAATAAAAAAAGTTTTGTTTTTTTTTTAAGAAGACATGCTTAATTAACACCTTATTGTTTATTTCATTGTTTTATATGTATGGGCTAGAAGAGTTTTTCTTACAAACATTTAATGGAATTATGGCTTTACTTCTATGCCTACAAAATCGATATGGGAATATATGTTTCCAGACCTCTTTATAATCCACATTTCTGAGGCATCGGAATTGGTAAATGCACATTCATTCATAAAGTTTACCAAGGTGTCCCTGAAAACTGCTCCTTGCTGTGCAGTGCATCTACATTTCGACAAGTCATGCCGCTGGCGGTAAACCAGGAGCGCTGCTAACAGTAGGAGAAGAAAGCATTTTTGCATCCAACATAATAAAATTGTAATTTAGGAATACAGATGACTCAAAAATATATGTAAATCTAAAATATCGGGATATGCATCGCCTTGAATCCCAAGTATCGTGTGACACATATATCGTGATTCTATCGTGTTGCGACCCCTGTATCGTGATACAATGCGTATCATGAGGTTGTTGGAATTACCCAGCAATAGTGTTAGCAGTAGCTAACAGTAAGTTCTTACTTCTGTACAACTCCAAGTTATGGCCATAATAAACCAAGGACCTCTGTACAAATATGAATTATAGGGCCTTTGTAATTTAGCGCTCACAGTCATCTGGCCAATGGTGGGCAGTGGGTCTGAGCACAGTCTGTATGAGTGGCCAATTAAAGTTTCATAGTTGAAACACGAAGTCAAACCGGTCCAAAGTCCTGCACTGCAGGCTGTTTAAAACCTCCTGTGACATTGAAATGAGACACCGCAGTGGTGTTGTAGTTAATAAATTAGTGGATGAGCTTATTGAAGTCAAGCGATTCACTGTGACTTGTGACCTTTACTTTCGTGGCCCAATACTCGTGTTTTTTTTGTTTAGTTTTTTTTTTGTCCTGTGCTGAGTAATAAAATAGGGCTTTGGGCTTGGTCGGAACACTGCTGACCACGTGATGACGGCTGGTCAGTTGACACGCTTCGAGCCTGTCTTAAGGTTGTAATCCGACCCTCACGCCTGCCATGCTTCCTCTGTTGCTGGTAAACAAAACGCCCCCCCCCCCACCCCTCTTCCCTCCTTTTGGCCGGAAACACGCTCTCCCTTCTTTTTCACGCCTCTCTACTTAACCACAGTCAACAGGTTGAGTTAGTAGTTACGGGATGAAGGTGGGGCTTACTGATAATGTCTTCAGGATATTTCTCAGCCTACTCATTGTTACATATTTGCCAACGTACTATATATTGACCTGCACTTCTTCCCTTTCTTTCCTAACTTTTCTAAGTCAGTTTCTTGATGAAAAAGCAGTCTTGCCATGCCACTTTGGGTCTGAACAGAATAGACAGGCTTGTGGGGGTAATGGAATACATGTTACATATTCAGAATTTAAAAAAAACAAGAACAACTACCATATTCCATTAGTTACAGAAAAACAAAAACATACAGGGTGTCTATAAAGTCTCTTTACCATTTCAAAAATGTATTAAAAATGCAATTGATGAGATATATTATTCAGATTTGTTCTATTGTATTCAGCGTTTATTAAAGTTTGTTTTTACCTCTTTTAATACATTTCTACATGGGCACCATTAGTTGCACGAAGCACATCAAGACGGTCCTCGATTTCTTGCCATGTTCGCTGTAGCATAGCCTCATCAATTGTGGC